AGCTTCCTTGGGAAAGGCAGGAAGGCCTTGCTGAGGCAGCCACATCTTGGGTCTTTGGAGAAGCTTAGGAAATGGAGAGATGATGACCTGACTGGCCCAGTCAGGTCCCGCCTGTCTGGTGGCAGGGGAAGGTGGAGAAGGCCCATGAAGAGCCCTCCCAGGGCCCCTCCCATAGCCAGCTGGACAGTCGGGGAGATGATTAATCAGCTGAGGCATTCAGGCTGCGTGTGCTGCGTGACTTGGGTAGGCGCTGAGGAGCCTGTGGACCTCCGGCTGCCAGGGCCGCCTCCTTCACGCCCACTGGGCCCAGCCTCTCCCAGGCAGAAACAGAAAGCCCCAGGTGTCAGTCCCCAGAAAGCCTGACAGGATGCCCTGACCTGGCATTGTACTGGTGCCAATCCCTCCAGCAGCAGCTGGACCCCTATGTCAGTCCTCCACGGGAGAAAAATACCAGCCTGTGACTGATGGTGCCAGCAGCCACACTGCTTCTCCCACAACGTCCCCTTCAGGGCTGCTCCAAAGGAACAGAATGCCCCATCTGAGGAGAGGGTAACGCCCCTGCAGGGAGGTCTTTTTTCTTTTCTTTTTTTTTGAGACAGAGTTTCACTTTGTCTCCCTCAGTAGAGTGCGCAGTGGCATCATAACTCACAGCAACCTCAAAATTTTGGGCTTAAATGATTCTCTTGCCTCAGCCTCCCAAGTAGCTGGGACTACAGGTACCCACCACAACATCAAGCTATTTTTTAGAGACGGGGGTCTTGCTCTGGCTCAGGCTGGTCTTGAACCTGTGAGCTCAGGCAATCCACCCAGAGTGCTAGGAGCCACTGCACCAGCCCCTGGGAAGTCTTTACTTTAAAGGCATGATTGGTAAGCAGCTTCTCTGCTGTCACCTCTGAAAGATGTGGTGGTAGTGGCTGTTGGCCAATGCTGTCCCCAGACCAGCCTGACCTGGCTACACTTGGGGCCTGGGCTGTGACCCTACATGATTACAGTTTAGAAAGGGACTTCTATTGGGTGTGGGATCACTGAATCCAGCAGGATTTCACTGGGCTGGAGAAACAGAAAGGTCACATGGAGTTAGAGCTGGGCATTCCCATGGCCTTGCTTTCCAGATGACTGCTACTGGGGTAATCAGGCTGAGTTCTGGTTTATAGTTCTGCTTGGAACTCAAGATCCCTGAGCCCAGAGATATCTTGTCCCAGGGACAATACTTGGCATTTCAGCTTTCAGAGGCATTTCCTCATTGTACTTAATGGTTACATGCCATTCTGGTAGGAGAGATATTTATTTATAGCCAGAGAGAGAGAGAGAGAGAGAGAGAGAGAGAGGTCTGAACTGGCTTCTCTAATTTGGAAGAAAACTACCTGTTTAGAGCCTGAGCCTAGGGTCCCTCACCAGAACCACAGCAGCCGTGCTGCCCTGTGCTGTCCAGGGCCTCCTGTTTTAGAGCCTTGGAAGTTGTTCAGACATTAATAATGTTGACGGCTTGTGAAGGACAGATTGGCAGGCAAGGCATTGTCAGAGAACTCATGCCACTTTCTGCCAGAGCTGGGGTGACAGAGCCCTCATGCCTTGGATGTGATAAATCCTGTGCCAGGGATCCTTGCTGCCTGAGGCACCGGCATTTGACAGTGGGGTGAGGCTATCCTGCCAGGTCCCTCCTGAGCTACCTGGGCTTCAAGGCACTGGCCTAAGGAGAATGAAGTTTGGCAGAGTCTCTGGGGTCTCTTAGGCTTCTGGAGTCTGATCCTGCCTGCAGATGGGTCAGAGCCTGGATGCTGGTTTCATGGAGTTAGATGAAACCTCAAACGCCTGGTGGTCAGGAGGGAGAGGAGGTGAGGAGGGCCCTAGGAGCTCTCGCCAGCCTAAGTGAGGGTCACTTCCCAGCTTAAATCAGAGCGGACAAAGTCTGCCCAACCCAACCCACACAGCCACACACAGCCCCTTCCCCTTCTCAAGGGCAGATGTTTCCAAACCAAATGAACCTCTTTGTGTTCTGCCTCCAACACAGGTGTTTCATCAAGCAGTGGGGCAGTGCTCCACGTGCTGATGAAGATCGGAGGACCCTGCAGAGCTCCGCAGCCTGGGCAGCACAGAGAAACACAGAGCAGCTGATGACACGGTTGGCCAGAACCACCCCGCCCGCTGACCCCTTCTCACCACACACCCTCACAGTTGGAAAGCCAGGGATGTTGAAGTCTCTGCAGACTGCGCTGTTGTTCTCATCAGCACAGTCCAGGGCGGCGAGATTCAGGGCTGGCCTCCAGTCTGAAAGGACAAAAAACCTCAGGGTGAAGCAAAAAGGGCTGGCACCTCCTCTGCCTGTGTATCTCCCCAGCGCAACACCCCATCCCACCTGCCCCCACAGCACCTCACCCCCAGGCTCTTATAAGAATGGTCACACTTTCCTCAGAAAAGGACCTCCAAGATGTTCCTTTTATTCTGCATCTAGCCAGAGCCTCAGAAGATGGGCCTGAGCTTAGGGCAGGTGGCTAGCACAGGGCAATGCTGTCTCCATGGTACGCTGGGATCTGGACTCCCCATCACTCTGGAATTGACGGGTTGACAAGCAATGTGAGCAGACCTGGCCCTCCTGGGGAAAAGCCCTGGTATTCTCTTTCCTTGCCGCCCTCTATACCACTCCAGAAGGGTGGAGAACATGCCTCGGGGGGTTTGGAATTCCCCAGTGGACTCTAACTTAGTGAAGGTTTCTGGGACCACAGGTGCTAACCATCAGTGCAGCTTGGGGGTGGGGGGTGGGCTTACAGTGTTAGAAACTGGGTCCCCAGGCCACAAATGGAGGTAGGAATCCTAGAGGAAGATGGGGAAGGCACCTGAAATACAGGAACCACAAGGAAAGAAGTCCTGAGGCCAGAGTCTAGAGGAAAGCTAACCTTGCTCCTTCATCAGGCCCCAAGCTTCAGGGCCTCTCCCTGCTGAAACTTGGCAAAGAGAAATATGACGCTAGTCTGGGCCACAGCCCAGGACTGGGAAACAGAAAACAAACCCATATACCAGGCAGGTCTCTGAGCATCGATTCCATGCCAGGTGCCCCTGGAGCACCCACCCAAATTCCACCCTACATGGGTGCTACCCCAGCGAGAAAGCAAGATACACACATGTGAAGCCACACAAACCGTGAGATGGCAGTGACTGGTACCAAATTACAGAGCCCCAAGGAAGTCTGAGCCCAGGAGAGATCCTGGGACCAGCAGACCAAAGCATGACAGGAGGAGTAGAAGTTCAGTTAACCTTGACAGTCAGTCCAGTGGACAAAGAACTGGCTGAGCAAAGGTGAGGAGGAAAGAACTGGCAGGACTAGGCTGACTGGACAGAAGGGTTCCGGGGAGGAAGGAAGGAGACAGACTGTGTGTGTATGCCCAGAGAGGTTAGGGGTATTCCTGAGGCACCCTGGTACCACTGGGCTCCATGGAACAGATGAGAGGAGGCCCCAGCACAGAGGCCCAGGGTCCTACACCTTCCACCTGGAGCAGGTGCTGCCTATCTCAGCCTCCTAGAGTGCTAGGATTACAGGCATAAGCCTGTAAGTGCCTGGCTTAATATTCTCTTTTGAAATTTCTCCTTCGTGTGTCCTAGCACTCTGAGAGCCTGAGACAGACAGATTGCTTTATCAGGAATTCAAGACCAGCCTGAGCAAAAGTGAGGCCTCATCTGTACTAAAAATAGAAAAATTTGGGAGGCGCCTGTGGCTCAAAGGAGTAAGGCACCAGCCCCATATGCCAGAGGTGGCAGGTTCAAACCCAGCCCTGGCCAAAAACTGCAAAAAAAATAAAATAAAAATAGAAAAATTAGCCAGGCATCCTGGCAGGTGCCTATAGTCCCAGCTACTACGGAGGCTGAGGCAGGAGGATCTCTTGAGCCAAGAGTTTGAGGTTGCTGTGAACTACAGTGACACCACAGCACTCTACCCAGGGTGACAGACTAAGACACTGTCTCAAAAAAAAAAAAAAAGAAAAGAAAAAAAAAGCAGCTTCTGGACTCCTGGCAGGAAGGAAGGAGTGGGATATGGGGGAAGAAGTGGATGAAAGTGTTTACCAAAGACAGACTTTAAGGATTATTCAGCCAAAACAGGTGAGCTGCATCCCATCATACCATTTTCCCAACCTTCCCTAACCCCCATCTTGCCACACACCTTTGGGGGAGCTGCCTAGACTCCCCTGGCACATAAAGGCAGCAGCGTAAGCTTGACCAAGTATCTATGAGCTGGTTTGTACCCTTTGGCTTTAAATCTCACCGCAGGGCAGGCTCCACAAAGGCGGGTTGTGGTCAGGGCCTGCTGTGTGCCAGGCCCAGGGTGCAATCCCTCCTCCCTGACACTTTTCTCTGCCCTCACCCTTGCCTGCTGTTGGCATTCCTTGGGAGAGGCAGAGTCAGATAGTCCACCCACACGGATCTGCTAATTCCCACCCGTCTCTATATCCTGTCCACTCTCCAACCGAAGTCCCTTTCCCACGCACCTCCATCTCCTCACTCCTGCTCTAAGTTGGCTCAGACATGCGATCTGGCTTCCTTACTTACCTCACCTCTAACCTGCTCCCTGTGACCCGTGACCTAGCACAGAGATTCTCATGACAGATCCTCTTCAGAGAGAAATAAACATCTCATTTCCCTCTAGCAAAGTTCTATTATGCTCCACCCCTCACTGGCCTCTCCAGCTACCTATGGAGATATTTTCGTTCTGTGGATCTGATGTTGTCCTCTTCACAATATTCTCTGGTGGCTCCCAGTGGCAGCCTGCTGCCCAGGTAAAGGTTGTACCCTGGATCACAGGCAAGAGCCCCTGAGGTCCTCACTGTGTCTCCTACAGAAGGGAGGCACAGAGGAGGGTGGGAAGCACAGGATCCTAAGCACCTCTTAGGATCATCTGGCACACTCTAAGCTTGGGGGTTCCTTCTCTTCTTCATCTAGGGCTCTGGTCCCCTTGTTCTGAGGAAACCCACAGGAGAGGCCTCGCTGTTCTCAAGAAGCACCAGTAAGTCAGTTAGACATAGGCAATCTGATGGTTTTCCACCAGTGAAGGCCTTTGGGGTTCTCACAAGGCCACTCTGCAGGGTGACCACAGACTGCAAGGCTTCAACTGTTCCTCTCTTCTCCAAGAGTGTAGGCCACCATCCCTCAGGCCAGAGTTGGTACCCACTGCCTGCTAGGGCATGCAGACTCCTGAAGGGATGGGGAGAGGGGAGGACAGGAAGCTATCATTCCTGAGCACCCACAGCACACCTGCATTTGAAGTGGGCCTCACTTCCCACAATAAGGGAACACAAGGAGAAGCTTGCCCATGGGCTACGGACTCAAAACCCATATTCTTCTCTCTCCACCTCATCAGAGTCAGAGTGCTGCCTTTATATTTGTGCAGTTTGCTCCAATTATAACTTGCCCCAGGAGAGAGAGAATGACAGAAACAGTTTTGTCTTCTGGATAAATATCGTCCTTTGTAGCTCACAACAGTCAAGTCAATACTACAGACTCAGCTCTTCCTGAGATGATGATGGTATCAGCAAATAGTGTACACTAAGAGTTTACTGTGTGCCCCATTCATCTAGTTCAGCGTTCACAACAGCCTTATGAGGAAAGTAAGGAGGTATTCATCTCCAAATCTGCTTGTCTTGGCTATAAAATGGGGAACTCAGATACCCATGACCAAGGCACACAACAGTATATGTGGGATTTGTTTCCCGAACTCCTTGGCTAGTTTTGTTTAAGGAGACATTCAAATGTAATCACAAGAATGAATAAATTAGTCTAATGGAAAATGGGATAAAAATTTGTAAGTGAACTTGTAGTGGTTTTAAAAATCTTTTTCAGTAATTTGAATCTTGAAGTTATTTTATGTTAAATGAACTAGTATTCACAGTATGTCATTTCTAAGTAAGTTAAAATACTGAAATATTAATCGCTCAAATTGTTTAAAATATATATAATTTGAAAAACTGAGGAAATGTATCTCCAGAAATCATGAATTGGTAAATGTTGAGCTAAGACAGTTCACAACACTTGCTAGTTTTTACTAGAAATTAAGATTACTAAGGATTAAAAAATTCTAATAAAAAATAAGTTTAGTTAATATAAAGGAACAGTTTAAACTAGAAATAATAAGGGGAAAAACTATATGCAAGGGAAGAAAGGGATGTTTTAAAAAGGAAGTTGTAAAGTATGAGAATGTTTTGGGTAAGGGAAAAAGAAAGTAATTTTGTTCTAAAGTAGAGTGGTTATTCTAAAAGGAGACAGAGGAAGAGATAGTTAATGGATATAAGGAAGTAACAGAAGGGTTGTGAAGAGAAAAAGATTACATGTGTAGTCAAGTAAGCTAACTTCTTCTAAGTTTGATTTTTTTTTGTAAACATGCCTTAATGTCAAAAGTACACTGATGTAAAACCAGAATTTGATTCTCGCCATTAAAATAAGGTTTTCTTGGAGTATTGATTGGCTCTTAATAGGAAATAGTGAAAGATTTTTCTTTACATTTTAGGTAATTGTCCTAGTGAGGAAAGCCGTGTTTTATCAGAATGATTCCTGTGCTTCACATTTCTTTATCAGTTCTTTGATTACTTAAGAAAACTGAGTTGTCTTCTTTTTTTTTTTCATTAGCAATAGAGTCTCACTTTGTCACCCTTGGTAGAGTGCTGTGGTGTCACAGCTCACAGGAACCTCTAGCTCTTGGGCTTAGGTGATTCTCCTGCCTCAGGCTCCTAAGTAGCTGGGACTACAGGCGCCCACCACAATGCCCAGCTATTTTATTGTTGCAGTTTTGCCAGGGCTGGGTTTGAACCTGCCACCCTCGGTATATGGGGCCAGTGCCCTACTCACTGAGCCACAGGAGCCGTCCCTGAGTCTTGTTTTTTAAAGAGTTAAGGAACTATGGTTTTCTTCTTATAATAATGTAACTTTTTGTATATACCTTTCGAAGTCATTTAATTATCACTCTGACTAAATGAATGACTGTTAATTCACAGTGACTTATGATCTATTTTTATATTTTTTACAAACTTACCAAAATCAACTTCTAAATTTAGTACTCTGACCTTGAACTAACTTTGGGACATTCCAGAGAATGCTGAAACATCTCAAAAGATCTTAAAACAAAGATATTAAACGAATTTGGCTTATCTTATGTGGGAAGTATTATCAAATAAGAAATGATGCTTCACCTTCTTTGAGTTATATTTGTATGGATATGTGATTAATACATGTTTCAGAATTATATGAAATGCCTACCAATTGGCAGCACCTGTGGCTCAGTGGATAGG